CTGGAGTGAGGTGGTTAACAGTCATAATTTGTAAAGTTCAAATAAAATGAACGACTGTTGTACTCAGAAACAACCAAGGCCAAAAGGATACAACTTCAAACAATCATTCTAATCAAGATCAACCAGAATCAAAAAACAAGATACATTCACAACAATCATTTGACTCGGTATCAATTAAAATATGATGAGTTTGGATACAATAATGACTAGCAAATCAGCGGCGGGCGCCGCGGCTAGGGTTTTTCATTTTTAGGTGGGCGCAACAACTGAACATTGGCACACCGCACTGCACTCAATATACTTGTTTCAAATGTAGTTCCTGTCATCAATGGTAGTGTACAGGTTTATTTAGTTGAATTATCCAGCTCCCACTTCTTTCCATGTTCCATTTGCTTAGCTTGGTTGCTAATTATATTGCTCCTGCTTTGCCAAGTCCTGATTTTGAGTTGTGGAAATGATCCCCCGCCCTGCCAAACGCACAATGACGGCTTTGAGTTTGAGACAATGTACTTCTGTGTTCTTGTGAGTCTGGTCATCTCTGCAGTGTTTGGTTCACAAGGTTATGACCATGTGGAGATAGGAGATCCTGAAATAGTTCAGAGGAATTTGGAGTCAGTCTATTACTCCAGTGATGAACCTCAAGAAAGGCAGGATACAAAAAGGTTGAAAGAAGAATAATTATATATGTATTTTCATCAGAGTAGATCTTCAGGGGTGTTGTACTGCATCACGCAATAATCACGGCATAGCACGGCATCTTACAGGAATTGCTAAGCATTTTATTCCTCACCTGAAATCCCACTTGAGCCTTCAGTTGTGACTATCTAAGGCTGTGACCATCATTCTACCCTGTGATACAAACCAAGATGCCAAGCCTTGAGTTATATCAAATCAGTCTTGCAAACCAATTGGTCTGAGTAAAATATAGTTGCCAGTCCCATTTTTCTCCACAAATCACTTGCCCAAATAAAAAAATGTGATGAACCTCTGTAGATGGTACTCACTCATCTGATAGTTTAGCTTATAGCTCATTGAGTTTGAAATTGAATGCTACCTGAAGTTGCCTTTTGAATGTATGCAATATTCTGAGGCGCTTCTCTGGATGATCCCTTGGAATCACTCCTACTCATTCAACTCCAAGCGCTACATAAGATTTGCCTCAAGAACCAACTTCAAAAAAAGCTTAATTCTGAGATCTGAAAAAATTGTGGAGCCAATGGAAGAGTGCAACTGGTTGAATAAGAATTGGTTCAGATAAACTTGGACTTGCACAGCCATAAAGTTGCAAGATTGGAAAAATCAAAACCATTCTCATAAAATTCTGTCTAGAAAGAAGCATTTCACATCATATCATATTAAACCTTCATCCAAACACCAAATCTATGATTATAGCATCACATCTTTTTTTGAAAACTCAATCAGAACACCAAGCATACCAATTCTTTCAATACAAACTATATAAAATCACATTCTCTTTTTCCTTTTTTCAAAAGATCAATGAAACATACAAAAAAAGAAAATCTCTATGTATCATTAGATACTTTAAATGTATAGTTTATATACAGGCGAAGTACTACTTTTTCCAACACATCATGAAACACTAATAAATTTTACAAAACAAAAACCAAGATAGTTTTTTGTAATTTTCTAATCAAAAAATAAGAAACAATATAAAGAAAAATAAATTCATAAACAACCCCAATGTGTAAAACCATGAACTCAATTTGTTTTCCTCTTGTTATTTCTTTACTGCTCTACAATCTGTACGTTTAACTTGAACTAATCTCAGTTCTATTATTATCATCTTTGTTTTCTTCCTCTTCTTGATCATCAGTACTTTGAACTTCTTTCCCTTTTCCTTTTTCATTCACAACCTTTTGTTTTTTACTACCTTCACTTTCTTCAATCCACTTCAACAGTTTCATTTCCTTCTTCTTCTTCATCATCATTCAAATCAATTCTTTTCTTCTTAGAATTAGGTATTTTCCTTTCAAATTTACAGTACTCAAAGCAAGTATGTGGGTGTACATACTTTTTCCCACATACTTTTTGATTTTTTTTTGGCGGAGAAAAAAAAAGTATGTTTGGGTCGAGAACTATGCAGCTTTGAGGACCCCAAACATACTTTTCCTGTTCTTTACTTCAATCATGCCTTTTAGTAATCGGAGACATTTGGGTTTGTGATTCTTTTTATAATCATTTGAAGTTAATGATTGATTTCAAGGTCTTTCAAGTGAAAAAGGTGAACAAGAATGTGGAGGGTATGTGGTCTTCTCTACAGTTTTACAGTTTTGATTCCCAGGGTCAAGACTTCAATCATTATCAGCTTGGGTTGTGTTCAAAGTGGCCTTGAACAGTGCAAACTTCAAAGAGGATGATGATCAAGGAACCAATGAGTTTCCTTACATTGTGAAAAGCGATTCTTATGATCACTTCTTAATCTCATATTGTTTGCCTTACATCATTTATCAGTAACAGAAAAAAAACTCTTCAATTCTTATCAAGGCACATGGGACGTGAGCAAAATAATCAAAATCATCATTCAAGATCATCATTGCAATTTGAATTATCACTATATGAATTTTACATGGCATTATCAATGAACATCAATCCTACGTTTGAAATAGTATAGTATATACATACGGAGAAGTCAAAAAAACATGATACATACAAGAAAGATGAATGAAATGAAATACATACCTTAGAAAAAGGGGTCAAACTCGAAGATGTCAACATTGATGTTACACAAATAAGATTACAATTGATGAATGAGGAATGAATACTCACCTAATAGATTAAGCAAGTCCAAACAGTCGTTCTATAAAAAAACGGCCAAAATTGAATCCTAGACAAATAAAGAAACAATATAAGTTGTCAGTGTTATACAAGAGGAATGGTGGAAAGAAAGTTAAGAGAAGAAAAGACTTACATATCAAGATCAAAGATTAGAGTCGAAATTAAAAGAGAATGAAGTTTTGATTTTGAGGTTCAAAGTTAAAACTATATCAAGATCATAACTGGAGATCAAAATTGAATTAAAGAGTGCAGGTTGTAGTTGAAAGGCAAGGATTGAAATATTAAACCAATAAATTCGTTTTTGGGGGTTTGAAGAGTAACAAGAAGAGTAGTTGATGATGTCAGTTTCAGTAATTCAAAAGAAGGAAATAGAATGAAGACTTACTTATTGTATAACGATCAAAATCGAGATTCAGAAGATTGAGATCTTGATTGAATGATGGAAATTGAGATGAACTGTTGGAATCAAAAGGGAAATGGGATAGAGGGTGGTAGGAAGAAGTGTGAGGTGATCAGCTGATAAGACTGAAATTGAGATTGATTGGACCGAGTCAAATTGAGTCTAAAAAGTACAGAAGCAAATCAAAAGGAGTCAAATCAAAAAGAAAGATTAAATTAGTATGAAGAATGAACACGATAAAGAGCAATGGATAATAAAATGAAGTAAAGGAATTGAAATTGACTTACCAAATGGAACAAACAAAAGAGGGAATGAAACTTACTTACATCAAGATCCAGAATCGAAATTTAAAAGAGTCAAGCTGAACAGTGTAAGGAAATAAAAATGAAACTTACTCACCTAGACATCCAAAATCAAATTATATTTTACCGTATTTGTTCCAATTGTAATACTTTCAGAATCATAAACTTCATTCAAAAAGTGTTCAAAAAAGTTACTAATCAATTTCCTTATTCGAGTTCCTTGATGAAAGATTTATTTCATCAATTGATTTCTTTTTAAACTTTGTAAAATTCCTCCATTTGAATGTACAATCGTTAAGATTTTGATCGCTAAACATCTTGTGTTGATTTCGTGTTTTCCTATTGTGATTTCGAAAATCTTGATTTAAATCGGGTTGTAAGATGTCGCATCGGGCCTAGATCATCTGCAAATGAGCTTTGGGAAGACAGACTGTGATAAGTCACAATCAATGACAAGGTCAAAGTCATATGGTGATCAAATGCGTTCTTTGGAGCTGAAAAGATCTATTTTTGGTACGGAGAACAAAATTTCAGCAATTGTTGTTAGATTTCTTGACAACAGCAGGAGGTACGATTGACGTACATATCCTGCCTTGAATTTTCCATGCAATAACCCAATCATTGTTAATTTTTCCCAGTCGCATCCGGCCTATAGTTTGATGATACTTTGTGTAAGCTTTCGAGGTATCCTCCAGATTGGAAGAGTTCCGAGAAGGACCTTCATCAGGATAAGTCGCAGTCAACAGTCGCATAGTTTCACTTGTAAGTGAAGGGACTGAGAGTTTCTGAGGAGCTAGTAGACTGATTGACCACGATAGGAGACGTGTGAAGAGTGCTTGATCACCGTTGATATCGAGTGGGCTGCTCTTAGCATCTCAAAGGTCTAGAACCGTTGCTGTTGTGTTGACTCTGCCAGGGAGAGTATTGTGATCTCAAGTCGAAATGCCCGGTGCTATGGAAGGTTCATAAAATGCTTGAAATTTCACTGAGAGAGACTGTTGGAAAAAATCCACATTCTTTTGTGAACAGGAAAGATGAGAGGGACAAATCAGTTTGCTATACAACTGGAAGGAATGGCGATCATCTATAACTCACATTGGTTTGACAGGCCATGAAGAAAGGAGGTGGGGTCGAAACAGCTGAGCCTAAGGAAGCCTAAGGGGAGGACCCAGGAATGCGCCTGGTAATGTACGTGACGAACAAGGGGGGTTTTGAGGGCAAAAACTTGCAGATGTACGTGACGAAAAGGGGTTTTTTTCTGGATTTTTACCAAAATGTACGTAACGTGAAAGGGGGGTTTCAAGGTGTTGTGAAAGGTGATATTTTCACACAGGTAGGTTATGTCAGGTAGAGGCAGGTTTACCACCCAAAACATCAGACCTCATCAGACTAGTTCACAAGTTCATACCTCTTCACACAGCTTCTCCGCATACAATCACATCTGATCAAATCTGATCACATACTCTTACAATCCCTCAATAACCTACAAGAACACATCAAACATGTTATCTTTTGAGCAAACATTACAAAAAATTACAACCCTGTGCAACCAATGCCCTAGTCTTCGAGAAGGGACTCGTGAAGATCTCACCTTCAAGACGTTTTCCAATGCTCCAGTTACCAATGCTGAAGAAGGAATGTGGTATTCAGTTAACTTAACTCTTGATTCCGTATTTGGTCGCGACTGTATCAAGAAGAACATATCAAAAGGGACCTTTGGACTTCCACTGGTGGTCGAATGGGTCCGGAAAGCTCAAAAGCATCAGACATGGGACGGTGATTGTGATAAGTTGATAAGGGTCAAGCTGGACAATATTATATCGGCGCTCAAAGGTGAGTCTTCTACAGTTCTGTATCAGAAATGATGGGAGGATATGTAGGATGATGCAGGAGTATTTACTGATTTGAATGTAAATCTCAATATTGAAAGATGCAGGAGCTGAGGATAACGAATCTGAAGAGCCGAGCGTCTCAAAATCGGTGGGTGGTACGAAACGACGGATTGTGTCCAACCCAAAGACCTCAAAGACTCCAAAGCCTCCAGCCAAGCAACCAAAGACGACTTCTACAAACGACTCAAACACCATTGTCTTGTCCTCTGACGACGAGGTGGTAATCACAAAGGTTACCATTCGAGGCACCACTAAGAAAGCTCAAAAGCAAGTCAAAAAAACGAACGTACTCGGATTGTGCCCGTTATCAACCCCAGACAATACCTGCAAGTGATGCAAGGTGGAAGAGCGTCCTGGAGGCAAAGAATTCTCATGCCATTGTGGTGCCAAGCCAATTTGGCTGGACAGTGGTCGTGTAAGATCAGCAGAAGCTCACTGGGCTAGTGGTAAGTCATATTGTTGTGATTTTACGTAGGCTTTTAGGCTAATTCTTGATTACAATTGTAACAGCAACTTGTAAGGACAAAACCTGTGGTCTCACAAAGACTACTCAGTTGACTTCTTATTTCCAGTCTTCGACAGCCCTGAATCCGAATTTGATTGAGGTAACTTGTCCTGGACTCAATGACAACACATGGAAGCGAGATCGAGCTACACAAAGCATCACATCTTTTATCTCAAAGACTCCTAGCATTTATCGTGGTAACTACCAACACGAAATCTGTAGAAGTCTTTTTGGAAGCCAGGCTCAAGAGAGCAAGTTGTCAAAAGAACAGAAAGCTGAACTGATAGCTACCCTGGATGCTCGATCTATATGGCAAGTCAAGCGACAAGGCGAGCGATCTGCGATTCATTCTAGCAACTGTACAAAGACTTTTCTTCGTCGAAAGAGAAACAACAAGAAATTGATAAGCGATGCTTGTGAAGAAGTCAAAGAAAACCGTAGCTTACTCCGAGCCATCAATACTAAATTTGCCGACGACAAAACATTCAAGTACTCTCGGAACACTTACCACGAGGACAACAACAACTGCTTCTCACCTACTTTATTGAAACTTAGCAACTGTCGCCTCCTCTGCACATCTATTGACACAGCTGCAAATGGCGATTTTGGAAATTTCATGACAGTTGTTGCAGCATCATCTCGGAATGGACTGTTTGATAATCGGGACGCGACACGTGGCTTGATCAAGGCCGTTGCAATCAAGGCTGCACGGGAAAACACTGGAAAGACAACTCGAGGGATGAAAATCGATTTGTGTCTAGACGAGTTTGTGATCACTCTGGGTGCCATCAGCCCACGGGCTCTAAGTCTCTTCAACGACAACTTTGCAGGCCGTAGTAATCGAAGTCTACGGATGATAAGAGCAAAAGAAGGAATGCATCTTCTTGATGGTCTTCACATCGCAAATTTCAATCGAATCTCTCAAGTGCTGAAAGATCTTGGCTACTCTGGTCCAGTCGCAGCTGCTTCAGATCAGACAGTGTGTGTAAAGCGCCTTTGCCATGATAATGGATGTTTGGTTGGGGCTCAAGGTGGGGATATTCCTTTCAAGGATGCTTCTGAGCTCCCAGATCTGGTCAAATCAGTTGTAAAGAAGAAAGATCTCTGCTCCAAAGTAAGACATACTTTCTCAGATTTTATCATCCTTTGCTTTATCATTCAAAGGAGCTTTCCAATCATTAACTTCGAGTGTATCCCCTTTGAACAGATTCGAGCTTATACACTGCAGGTTCCCTTGCCTAATGTCCCAACTTTTGTAGTGGCTCTGATCGCTAGTTGTGATAAGGAGACTTCAAATGACATACTCGACAACCACATCAAGTTCCTTAATTTAGCAGAGGAATCTGGTATCAATATTCTTTTGCTTGGTGCAGACGGCGCACCAACTGAGCTATGTGCTCAATCTGCACTCGCGGAAACAGCAACTCAATTTATATCATACTCGAACTCAACGTACAACGTCCACATCAAGGTCTCTCTTATGGGTCATCCTCCACGACCAATTGTAATGGTACAAGACCCCAAACATGCTCGTAAGACTGGTGCAAACCAGCTGGGATCCGGAGCTCGTCTAATCATCATAGGCAAGTATCATGTCTCTATACAACAGGTTGCGGCGATTCTCCAGTCGGGCCGCAGTCCACTACTTCATAAAGACGTATTTGACTGCGACAAACAGGACGATGGGCGAGCATTTCGCACTTTGAACTCGTCCACACTAGCAGTTTCAGTTGCCGAAGACGACAGGCTTGGTTTATCGATCTACCTCTATGTGATTGGCGAGATGTGTGATGCCTGGCTGAACCATTGGATCGGAAATCGTGAACGCATCCGATCAGCGTGGACTGCCGAGTTTTTTTTTAGACTTTGGAAGAAGGACCTTCTCAAACGACAAGCTGAGCCTCACAAGCTCATGAGTTTTTCTCAAAACTGTATATCGGCTCAAAGTTTCAAAATATTTTCAACTCTTGCTACCTCCTTACACTACACAAAATGTCATCTTTACCGGGCGGTAAAGAAAACTACTGACATAGAAAAGTCCTGAGGCAACAGGAAGAGAGCTAAAAATCTGAAAAAATATGCACCTTGTTCCTAGATGTTGGGGCATCATGACGAGTATTTTTTTGTATTTTACACACAGATATTGGTTAATGTACTAACAATAAAGGCTGAGAATCATCAAAAACCCACCTGTAACAATACCTGAAATTTGGCCCTTGACTTTGAAGACAGGATTTTGGAATCTTCAAACATCAATAACTTTTGCAGTTCTGAATCAAATCACCCGATTTGCAGTGCATTAAAAAGGTGAGCCTTTCCTCTACATTTTTTATTGTAACATCACATCTGTAGCTGGTCTAAAAAAGATCCTACAGAGCTATTCATGCAGAACTGTTTGAACATATGTAGAGTGTTTAAATGACTAGATAGCACCTTACTAACATTATGAAGTGTGAAGAGGAATAGTTCAGCTTTTGAATGAACCAAAAATCGAGTTATTTGGAGCAGAATTGCAAAAGTTATTGAAGTTTTTAGACCACAAAATATTGTCTTCATACTCATGACCCAAATTTCAGGTATTGTTACATGTGAGTTTTTGATGATTTTCAGCGTTTATTGTTAGTACATAAACCAATATCTGCGTGTAAAATACAAAAAATACTCATCATGACGCCCCAACATCTGGGGACAAGGTGCATATTTTTTCAGATTTTTAGCTCTCTTCCTGTTGCCTCAGGACTTTTCTATGTCAGTAGTTTTCTTTACCGCCCGGTAAAGATTACATTTGGTGTAGTGTTACTCCAACTCATCATAGCTCATCGAGAGTTCTATCCGACCTACCCATTACTCCCATGGAAACACGGCAGCGAGCCCTGTGAACACGTCTTTGGCTGGATGCGTATTATTTCGCCAAGATTCACAGTTCTCGACGCTTGGATGATGATGCCGAAGATTCACGCGATCGTCAAGAATATCATGGCGGGAACAATCAAAATACCGCCGTCTGAACACATGCATTCTGGATACCAGTATGCTTTCTCCGACGAACCTGAAAACGAAAATCTCAAGTTTCTTGCGGAATTCCCGACTGATGAAGAGATCTCAGAAGATCTTGCAATTGCCTATGAGCGAGCCAATCAGCTTGCACTTGTCTGTGGTATGAATTCACTCAATTCTCTCATTGAGAACGTTCTGGGGCCAAATTTGGATGAATCGATTGAAAATTCACCTGAAGACTTATCAGGTACACTGATTTTACTCACTTTCCCAACTCCTACTGACATGTAAACATTGAATCCTAGATATATCGGTTTGTGCTACTCAACTCTATGATATTGAATATGGATACACAGCTCGCAACATTTGCGAAAAGGAAGCCCTTGAAGCAGCTGCACATTTAACCAAGGAACAGAATGCCATAGACATGTGTCTTGAAGCCTTGCCTGAAGATGCTGAAAGTGAATGCTTACAGAATGCAGCAATGTCTATATCAAATCTTCTCAATCCAGCACGTAAGGCCCTTTCAGTTATTATTTCTAAGCGTTCACTACACTTTACTGACACAGTACTCTCTTGCTTCAATAGCTGTAGCTCAGAATCATCAAAACTCAAATGACACCAAAAGCGATATAGCTTTCGGTCCTTTAGTCATTGATAGAAAGCTCATCGGCGCCAGTCTTATAGGTATCCGAAAACAGCACGACAGCGAGGTTGTAAAGAATAAGGGAAATGAGAGAAATCTCATCCATCCGGATGAATTACGACCAGAATTGACAAGCAAAACTAAGAGTGGTGGTGCACAAGCCAGTGCTTGCTCAAAAATTATTGCCGTGTGCTTCAAGAACTTGGAAGAAATTCCAACCGGCGAAGCACGCCGTCATCGCTGGAATATCAATGTCAAGATCAATCTCTCTGGGATTGTCAAAGATACAGCTAATTTTGGTCCGGTCCACCTACAAGGACTTCTCGACGGTGGCGAAATTAAACCCGCGAACCCTATCAAACCTGGAAGCTTCCTCATTGTTATCAAGCATCATGTACGTTACCTGTGTTTCATGAATTTGGTGATAATGATTCTGATGTATTGATATCATCTAGACTCTGTACTTGGCACGAACCCTTGTTGTCTATAAGCTTGTCAACAAAAAGCATGCATTTGTGACAAGTGCAAATGCTAGGAAGGGTTTGTCACACATTGCGGTACAAATTTATTTCTACAACCCGGCTTACCCAGTTGTAACCCCAACTCAAGGCTTGTCATCCACTGCGTTGACATACTCTTTGTTAGATGCTACGGATGTAGTTTATGTTTTTGATCCTTCTGCAGGTTCCACATTCAGTGACGCTGGTGATGGTTGCTTTATGATTCCAACAGTCATACGCAATATGCTTGGATCTGTACATCTTGATAAGCTGATTGATCACTATTATGATGAATTAGCACGCTCTAGATCTCAGCCCAACAATGGAGAGATCTCTGATTAGTTTTTAGTAATTAGATACATAACTTCAATGATTTTCTTGTAGAGGGATTGCTTATGTTGTTTGAAAAAACTATGAAAATAAATCAAATGTTTACATGCATCTACATAACTTTGTGGGAATCTTGCGTGCTCCAGAACTTCCTTTTTCTTTTTTTTCGAGGTACGTGACCAAGAAGGGGTTTTTTGGGGGTCAAAAATTCAAAAACCAGCGTATGTATGTGACCCCAAAGGGGATTATTTGGGGCGGTTTTCAAATCGACCCGGAAAAAGTGGCTTTTTCACGTCACATACATTACCAGGCGCATTCCTGGGTCCTCTAAGGGGGTTGGACACTGGGGTCTTAGGTGGACAGCTTGTTAAGGGCTTAGGGGTTTAATCCAGTTTTGCCGAGAAACTGGGTTGTGCCTTGAGTGTTATGATAAGAAGCTCATGAGATACAACTTCAGCTGTAATCAGTCAAAATAGGAGTTTGAAAGAGATAAATGTTTGGTTCAATATATTTTCATCCTCAGAATTGGAGATGAGAAGGTCTCATCACCGGTTGTTCAAGATCTTTAGGAGTGACTTTCTTAAAAGATTCATTAATCTGACAAATGGTGGTCTGATTTGATATTGGTGTGTTGTCTTCAAGTTAGGAGGAATGCTGAGCAAGAGAGGCGAGATGAGGCAAACCGGTTTCAGGCTGATGCCCGGTTTCTCATAATTGCTGCGGCTGCGGCCTAATTTGGCTTGAACGCGCGGGAAAGTACCTAGAAAAGCGGGTTTTGGGGATTTTCGAAACCGGGCGCCAAATAGTGTGCTCCTTAATGTTAATCTTAACAAGTTTTTTTTGAGCTAAGATGACCTAATCATGATATATTGTGCAATACATGAGCCGAAAGAGCTTCTCTTGATCAGATTCCTCCAAATTTGAGTTTTCTTTTCTGCTGAACTTTTCTGATAACTTTGGTAAATTACTATAACTATTTTTTTGATTGATCCCATAAATTGATCACCACCATGTTCTCCGCCTAACAAAATGTATAAGAAGCTGATCCTCCTCTGTATTCCAATAAAGCCTCTCCCTGCTACACATCAAATTTCCTTGATTAATCAATTACCCTCCCCAAAACTGACATTTTTCCTCTTTTGCATTGTTCTGAATTATTCTTTTCCAGTTCAATAAACATTACCACAATGTAAAACTCATTCCTCATGTTTGCAACCTCTTTATGACACCCATACAATTTCTTGCAGCCTTTTGTTGAGCTAACACCTCTTGAAAATGGGTTGATCCAGTTATCACTGGAGTTCAGCAAGGGGTTGTTGGGCAAAGGCTGCGGGCAAGTTTTTCTACAGCAGCCTGGATGAGATCCTCAAACTCTGAACCTGAATCCTCAGAGCAAGATCATTGGTGGAGTAGCAGTAGAAGGCCAGGTGCAAGAACTGGTACCAGAGATTGTGAAATTGTCATTGATTGAGTTTGACGGTGAGGGACATGTCAAGAAAGAGTTCAATAATATTATGTAGTATTGGAACTCTGTTTCAAATAATGTAGTACTTACAAGCAGACCACATTACAAAAAACATGTGTAATTAAACACTGCCAAACGGGGCCTTGATAAATCCAATGGTGATTTGACCTGATTTGAATCAATTTCAATTACACCCAGAATATCACCTCAGGCATTCTGGTATAAAATCTGTTCAATTTGTGTGCTGTAAAATCAATTCCAAGGGTGTTTGAAGGAGTGTGGATGAGAAAATTAGTAGAGAGGGTAATTGAGGTTAAGTTCTTGAAATGAATACTTTGACTTTTAACTGTAACTGGTTACTTGAATGAAGGAGCAGGAAGGGAAGCAAGAATAATGTTTGAGGAAAGCAGAACTGGGAGATCTTGGGAAGATAAAATGTAAAGATGTTCTATCAGTGTTTTTAAAACATGTTGTCCTCAAGTGTTATTAGTATAGATTTGGTTACGTTGTTGCGGATATCAGGTTGGAAATTATATCTTTCCTATCAATTTCAAATGACAATACAGAGGAGGAGTGGGGTGGGTCAACTGTGCGGCAACTCCACCAATCAAGATGAAGTCATTGGATGGTTCATTTGAACCGAATCAAATTACACCAGAAGCTCAAGTATATTTATTTTGTTGTCGGGGATTATTAGATGCTTTACATTGAGATTTAATCAAAGAGCTCCAAAGCACAGAATTGAAATTGGCTTTTGGAAAGAAACTAGAAGATATTGTTTTAGATAAACTAGCCTATGATGCAAGACAACTGCAAAACAATCGTGTTAGCAGATTAAGAAGTAATTGTGAAGTCACTCAATAAGAACTTCAAATGGTTTCAGAATTGGACTTAGCACTACTAAGGAAAGAAACAAGGATTTACTACAGGAGATTGAAAGGTATGTTGTCAGTATTTTAAACAGGTCAATTTTCTATCTTATCTAAACCTTCCTTTTACACAATCAACATACTGATGTTCTTCAACAAAAACACAAATTATTTGTACAACTGAATCATATCCAAGATGCAAGCTTGTTCTGTGGACCATGAGGCAATCAAATACAAACTCTATGAAATTTAAGATGGATTCAGGCCTCCTACAAAACAAAGAAAAGTCTCTCAACTCAAGAATAAATTTCCGAGACCGGTACTATCTCAAAAGTTGAAAAGGAGTTCCTTGATTTGGTCCCAAACTCTTGGTTAACTGAAACATTTTGTGGAGCATGGAAATCAAATCATTCAAATCAACTCTTAAATTCAAAAACCTTAAACCCTTCAAAATTCTTAAATCCTCAATTGATTGGATTGGATTCTCAAGTTAGATATTGTTTAATTGCTCGAGGTGACAGTCATGTTTATTCAAGATTAAAAACTGATTTAAATCATAAAGAAAAGATTTGGTTAACTTTTATTTTTAATCAACATGAAATCTGATCATGATTTGTGTGTTGTTTCTCTGGTAAAAGGTATCATGAAGCGGGTAGTTTGTTAGTAGAAGAAGCAGATGATAAAGTAGCAACTATGTGAGGTAAACCCTCAAATGTCTATTTAGGTAAAACTTCAATTCAAAATTATGGAATTGTAGCTTCTCATTACAATTTACATGATCATCTTTTAGATGCAATTACAGCTATTCCAGGAATTGGTGTCGTGGTCGCCAAAAATCATGGCCTTTTTCCCCCCGCGCCACCGGCCTATACAGGTACTGCGCATATCGGGGTAGGGGTAACTACCGGTAGGAAAATTTTTCGCCAGTTTCTTTTGGCCCAATCAAAAATTCTCATCCGTTTCCTCATCACACCTCCTGATCAAGCCTAGGTTTGTCGGTCTCCCCTGAACTTTAGATAAACACACCGTGCTGACTTTTCCACATCACCATTCTAGACATGCGATCTCGCCGCGGACCATATGATGTTGGCATCAAGGTGCTGGCTGTGCAGCACCTCCGCACAGGGAAAACCATCGACCAGGTGCGGCGTCTGTTGAAGTCTCCAGTCAGCGGGCGGACCATATCCCGTTGGCACTCTTTATACCGACGGACGTATTCAGTCATTCGCAATCCTGATGATTACCGTCGCCTCGGAAGGTGCACCCGTCTGGACGACGATGATAGAGATTTTATGTTAGAATTGTTAGATAGCAATCCTGCTCTATACTTAGATGAGTATCGATTTGTGGTTTATCGACGTACCGGCGAATGGGTGGCCTTGCAAACCATCGCCAGCGATCTCAAGGATTGCCTCCACCTAACTCGCAAGAAAGCACGTACTGTGCACCCAAATCAAAGCCCTTCGAAGCGAGCTAAGTACCTATATGCAGCTGGGGCTTTGAACCCAAACATGCTGGTGTTCCTTGGTCAGTAATATTCATTCATCCTTTTTCAAAATGTGAGTGCTTAGCTGACTTATAAAGGGTGCTGTGCTTTTCAGACGAGTGCTTGGTTCAAGAAAGACATTTGGGCCAGCAGTTTGGACGCGCTAGACGAGGTCAACAGACCTCGCGAATTCCTTGGAGTCGAGGGGGGAAGCGATACTCACTCCTACCGGCGATATTCAAAGGTGGCGTATTGGCCCTCGCCTGCCAAGAAGGCAGCTACTATCGAGATGACTTTGAGGGATTCCTCAAACATTGATTGGTAAGAACGGTCCCCAATGATTCATCCACCTGTGGCACCTGCTCCAAGAGACTTACAAGTCGAACATACAGTGTACTGTACGTACGACTGAGAAGCCGGTCTTCTGCGTGCAGAGCACCCAGAAGCTCTGGAGCACAACTTTTTCGTCACTAAAGTCATTTTTTTAACACTTTATCAACTTTTTGAGCTGAGAGCAGTCAGTGCACACCTTTTAAGCAATCAAGTTGAGCTTCAGGAGATCTCACCTCACCCACAAAAAATCAAAGTCTTCAGAGCGCTCTGGTAGGCTCTCCAGAGCGCTCTGGTAGGCTCTCCAGAGCGATCTGAGACCTCCAGAGCGCTCTGGTAGGCTCTCCAGGGCGCTCTGAAGACTTATAATTTCTTCATCATTTAACCCACTTCTCCTTTCTCAAGTCTTGATTTCACACAATTCACCTTGTTATCCTCACTGTGGCTTCATAATCTCTTAAACCCCTCTGTAAATAATATCTTGATTTCACAAACTCGAGGTGATATTTATTCCACAGCAAACCGCAGAAGTCACTGTCTAACCATAAGACCTCTTGTGTTCAAATCGATTTTCAGACAAAAGCTCTATACACCATCTCTTCGAGTTGTTCATACAATGGACTTCGATCAACCCCAACAGCTCTGATCAGACATTTGTATCATTGTGTGTGAACATCAGATTTTTCTACCTCACTGATAGACTGATTTAGACTGAATATGTATATAGATATATGTATTTATCAAATATATTGAAACGATACGTTGAACAAATTCAACTGAATTGACACATTGAATCAATTCAACTTTCCCTTCCGTCTGCTTTCATCTCTCATGTTGTGTTGAACCTGAATTTGTAACAAGTCGCACGTCTTCTGAAAACACAAGCACTGATTCAAACTTGTACTTACAATTAAGTGATTGACTAGTTTCAGTGAGAAACGAAAAGAAAAAATAACTAAAGTTGTAGAACAGAGAAAGCAAATGAAACTAAACCAATAGCAACAGAAGCTCAATTGAACTAACTTTCTGATTCATTTGATCCAAAGTTGTAAACATAAGATATCTCAAGCTGAATTTTGTACAGAACCGAGATACCAGAATCGAGTAGTTAGCATTTGAAACCCAAGTTTATACATCTACGATAGGAGCTAGAGTAACAAGATTGGACAAGCAAACAAACATAACATGTTTTTGGAACCGGATGAAGATAGAACGATTTGGGAAATCAAACCTTCGTGTTTGACAGAAAATAAAAGATGAGTCACCAATAGAGATATAAAGATTTGGGAAATCAAAAACTTCGTGTTTGACAGAAAATAAAAGATGAGTCACCAATAGAGATATAAAGATTTGGGAAATCAAAAACTCCGTGATTGATAGAAAATAATTCTTTGGGATGAGTCACATATAGAAATAAAAAGATTTGGGATATCAAGAATTTCGTGTTTGATAGAAAATAATTCTTTGAGATAAGTCAGAAATAGAAATAGAAAGACTTTGATCAATCATCAATATCGTCTTCGGGTAAAGTGTCAGATTCAGACTCAGAGGTTTCAGACTCTGAGGTTTCAGGTGTTGGTGATCGATTGCACTTCTTCTTTTTCTGCATACAGTCTCCTTTAGCTAATTGTTGAAGTTTGCGTTTTAAATTGGTGACGTTTGAATTTGACTGAGTGACTTGAGGGCTTTCATTACCATCAGAGTTGGTGTGACGTTGAGTATGCTGCGTAGAGACTTGTTCAGCTTTTTTCGCTTTTCTCTTCTTTTTGATCTTGCATTGTGATTCGCGATTTGATTGCTCTGAATCAGGGATGAGTTCAATAACAAATCGTTTTTCTTCTATATCCTTCAGCCAGTTCTTGACCGTTGAGCTCTTAGCAAGACAATGGCCTGTCTTCAATTCCTCTTCTGATAGAAGACTACCTTCTTTTTGAACAATACGAATCGGCCAACCCTTCATCTTGATTTCATCCACAGGGTCTTCAAGCTTAGGAAAAGTCTTGCCTTTACGGAAAACATCTATCACACAACAGCAAACATCATAAGTTGATGAAAATGGACTAAACCGTCTGCTGCTATGAGATGCTTACCAAGTAGGTGGTTGAGTTGCTTCCCTAGGCGAGTTTTACGTTTGTCACTTGGTTGTTGTACCTTAATGCCCTCGACTTTCTTTACAGCCGACTTACCGTGGATGTAAGAGCTGAGTGTCTCGGGAACTTTGGCATCCTTTGATGCCCAGTTTGCAAATGAAGTGTCGTTTGAATATACTTGAGTCCAGCCTTCGGTGCTTCCACAACTAACACCAGCCATATAATAAGTTATTTGATATCGTTGACAAACTACAGCAAACTTAAGGATGAATAAGGATGATATTAGTTATCCTATTAAAATCAAAAGGCAGTATTGTACTTACAGCATGATGAGCTTTTTCGGAGCTCCACCAAAGATTTTTTTTGAAGTGTAGCTACAGAATCCGAAGAAGCAGGTTTACCATGACACAGGTGGAGCTTATCAGCGTCAACCAGTTCATCAAATATAGGCTGATATTTTAATCTATCTTCACTGGTGAGTTTGTAAACCGCAGGTGCGACTGTCAAATCATCCAGGTGCTGAAGGCTAGTGTCAACTTCTCCATCTTCTGATTCAACAACTTCGCCATCACCTTTGAAAGGCACGGCAGATAGGTCGGGTAAGCCAGCCAGAGCAAAAAAATAAGGATCTTGAAAGACAGCCTTCTGGTCTTTGCTTAAGGTTTTCCATATCTTTGCAACCTGTTGGTTCCGAGCAGTCCAGCCATCCTTGTCGCCCGGTTTGGGTACTGCAAGTTGAACAGTTCGATGGATAAAAAAATAAATAATCATAACATGATTGAGGTGGAATGAACAAGCAAATTAGTCATAGAGAAAACTGATTGGTAAAAATGACACTTACATTTTTCTTTCAGCGCAAGAGGACAGAATGCTAAGAAGCGGATCCATGGATTCGCATGGCCCTTCTTTGCCCCTTCTCCCCTGATGATTGAAGGAACGATGAGTAAGTGTTTAGTCTGACCAGATAAAATTGAATAGTTTGTTAGTGTTCTATAGCTTGCGGCTGTACACTGAGGTCCATTCCCGAGGGAAATGAAAGAGAAGGGAGCAAGTGAGAGTCACACGTGTGAAACCTCAAAGGTATTGCATGGTTTGGGCACGGGTGAATTTAGAAGAAATAGAAGACAGGAAAAAGTTTTTTCTATCTTCCGTCTCATTTCTCTCTCTCTCATTGCACCACCAGTCTCTTTAGCGAGTCGCAGATTTCCTTTTATTCATTCTTAGGAAATTCTTTTTATAAAAAGGGAAGCAGAATAAATCATCGCTACAAAATAGTATTCCTTTTTTGTTTTATCGCACTGTGCTAGACTAGAGATTCGGAGGAAGTCTATAATTTCAACAACAAGCGATTTTATTGGATTCAAACCTAGTAGTGAATGTGGAGACAGCTCAAACGGAAGTCAACATCCACCCCGACTTACCAGTCAAAGAGAATGATAGAAGCAATGAACCAAGAGGAAGAAAAGAAGAAGACTCACGCTCAGAAACTGAAGGAACAAGCCGAAGATAGACTGAAGAGAGCTAACTCCAGAGCTCCTCCAACGGAGGCTTCGAACTTGCCGGACCCAGGATCTACGGTGATGGGAGGAAAACAATCTGGTTCGATTTCGGTCGACCAAGAAGGAGACCTACCGATGTCTGAGGGTAAAGAGATGAAGTCCGCGGCAACGGTTGAGGTAGAGAAGGACGTTGGCTTGGACCCGAAAGATCAGGAGAACAGAGTCGATGGGGGTAGTGATTCTTCTGACTTTGACCAGTTGAGTAGTGGAAGCAGTAAGGGTAGGAAGAAGAAGAAGAAAACTTCGAAGAAAAGAAGGGGAAAGGAGAAAGAAGCTAGGAAGGAGGACTCGTCAACGGACAACAATAGTTCGGTAGACTTAAACAAATCTTACAAGTATTTGATAGAGGATGACCTCCGTAAGCTTCAATTGTCTCCTTCAGATTCTTTCCTTGCAACCCCCCTCCACACTTGGTCCCCAGGAGATGTTGAATAACAGGGCAGATGGAGGTAGGGGTAGAGAACTGTGTGTAGCCTCTAAGTAGGCTCCAGTTAGATATGGTAGAAGCTCTTGTAGCTCCCAGAATATTCTTGTCGGCTCCTGAATCCCTTCGGTCGTAGCGAAGAATTCTTTTGTTGTAGCGTCAGCCAATGATGACCTCTTGTTGCACTTTCTAGTGGAGGTAGTTGAGAAGAATGGCCTGGATTGCTTTGTTGTGACAGACCTACTCACCCTCAAGATTGTGAAATCAATGAGCAGCCGAATAGGTGTGATATGATGGAGAGGGGACCGAGAGTGTGTGAACATTAGCGACTCCATGAGAGTTATGGCTCTCTATCACTAGAATCTCCCTTTGCTAATGAGAAATCTCATCCTCTTGATTCGGATGGGGATTTATCCTTGTTTTAGCACCATCACTCTTAGCCGAGACGAGTTCGAAAGAATTACTTCGTGATACGAAGGAGACGAAACTCACGGCTGACGGAGGAAGACCTGCTCCCTCTAGACCCCTCATGGATCGGTTGTTGTATGCGATTGACCATGAAGATTTAGTCTCAATAAAAGCTTTGCAATCAGAACTAAGGGAAGCCGAGATATTGAAACTGAAGAAAGAGGCGAAGGCTGATAAGGCTTCGAAAGAGGCGAAGGAAGCTAGGAGAAAGGAGAAGGAGGTGAAGAGGTTGAAGGAGAAGAGGAAAGCCAAGAAAGCGGGAGGAAAAAAGAGAAAGATGAGCAAGAAGAAGTCAAAGAAGCGAAAGCGGAAATACTCATCTTCCAGCTCAAGCTCCTCCTCCTCGTCCTCCGACTCGAGTGATGTCGATGAATCCTCCTCATCTTCATCGTCCTCTAGCTCGCCACCTAGAAAGGGGAAGTCCAGACCTCGCTCTGATTCTACAGACTCGTCGGACTCCTCCAGCTCTTCGGATTCCTCGAGTACTTCTAGTTCCTCCTCAGATTCTGAGGACTCGGAAAAAGAGAAGAAGTCTAAGAAGAAGCGTTTCGGATTCGGGGTAAACACCATCTCCGGTTTAGACTTACCAGATCTTCCAGATAACTGGGATAAGGCATTCAAGAGATTTAGGAAATATGTCCCTCTTTCTGTTTTTCGTCGTTCATACATTACAGCCTATCATTCAGCTGTGGACGATGGCTCTAAAGAATGGAAGAAAGGCGTCAATGCTAATATTTCTGAGAGAGACCAAGAACGACAGATGACTTACGGCGAGTTTGTAATGGCCTGCGATTTAGAGGCCAGATATGCATCGGAGGTCTATGGTCACAATGCGTATGCGGAGTATCTATTAAAGCACAAGGAGGTTGTGAATAGTCTGATGGTCAAGTATAAGTGTTGGATGGTAGGCTTGAGGTACCATTTAGCGATCAGGACTTCCATCTTTAGGAAGCGGTCGAGACTTATGTACGAGATCAAGAAAAACGGGAAGAGGGGAAAGATGGTGGATGAGGTAGTCTTACCGAAAGGGATGCTGAAGTTGGCGGTAAGACAGGCCAGGTGGGACTGTAAGACAGCAGGTGATTTGAAATATGACGGCAATCCCTATGCTCCGGGTGAAGAGAAATTCGGCTACGATTTCTTGACGGGACAACCACGCGCTTCGAACACCCCAGTCGCGGGTACCTTGAAGACCCATAGCGAGTCGAAGTCGAAAGAGAAGGATTTCGATGGTGGTAGTTCGGGAAAGCAATCAAAACGGAAGAGGGGAGGCAACTGAGGGAGAGGTGGTGGTTATGGCTATTACCAGAATCAGAAAAGCCAGTGCTCGGGCCAGTCGTTCCAAAATGGCCAGGACTGGGTGTCGCTGGGCCAGCAACATGCGAGTAAAAACGCAAGGTCGCAGAAGACCGAGAAGGGTCAAAAAGGAGGAGATAGTGTAGCTTGGTAAGCTCCTATCTGATTAAGGGAAGAAGTAATGTGTTACTGACTATCGTCCACTTTACTCACTTATTCCCCCACCCCCCCACCCCCCTCCATTGTTGTTTTGGTCTCAGGAACTTTCACCTTGCCGATGAACTATATTGCTTATCGATGGGGTACATGGGTGCTGATGTTGGTTTTTTAACACCCGTCCTTGGTTGATCTGTGTTTTCCTGGTACGATCCTCTCTTTGCATTTTTTTTTTCCCTCTGGGCTAGAAGATCCTTGCTGTGTTAGAAATGTTGGGCAGTTGTTAGGCCTCGTAGACAGTCCTATTGTATATAGACTCCTATGAGCGTGTGATATGGAGAGATGTGAAAGGGTGCATGGAATTCTTACCAACATGTCTCTATTATTGCCCCGTTATGCCCCCACTCCATTGCGAACCCCGTTTCCTAGTGACTAGCGTGTCAGACACAGGAAGGTGGAATTCGAGTGTTTCAGGACGTAGAGAAGACTTGAATCTTTTAGAGAATTGTATTGCCAAACAAGCGAAGGTTGAAGGTGATAGTTTGTCTGAGGAAGATAGCTCGAGAGCTAGCTCTTTGTCTCTCGATTCGAAGAAAGAAATGGAGAAAGAAATATTGCCACTGAAAGACAGGAAAACCTATAAGGTAGAGGGGGTGGGACGGTGGCCAGCACCGGTTCGGACCGAGATGGTACTAGAGGTGTGGGAGTCGCTGATGAAGGAAACAGGTCTAGTGGATGACATCCCTTATATACTGGAAGGCTTTAAGGAGGGTTTTTGCTTAGGTATCCCTCAGCATTTGTTGGGGAATAGGTCCTGGTACACTCCAGAAAACCATTCATCAGCTCTAGACGTGAAAGAGGAGATAGAGAGGACTTTAGAAAGGGAGTTGAGAGCGGGAAGAATCGCGGGTCCGTACACTCACGAAGAGGTCTTCAAAGAATACGGGTTCTTTCGCTCTAACCCAATGGGCAGCGCTATTAATGGCGATGGTTCCCTGCGTCTGATAAACAATCTCTCCTATCCGAAAAGGGACCCAGAGATTCCTTCGGTAAACTCCTTTGTTGACAAAAAGAACTACGAAACTAAGTGGGACGACTTCAAAACGGTAGCTCGTTTCCTAGCAGCAAATCCAGGTAAATGGGAAATGGCTTTAGTTGACTGGGCCAAGGCGTCTAGGCAGCTGGGAGTACATCCTTCACAAAGGAGATTCTTAGTTATTGTCGACTTTAAGGGCCAAGTATGGATTGACTTAGCTATGGGTTTTGGAGGAGTAGCCAGCTGTGGTGTGTTTGGAGCACCGGCTGAGACATGGAAATGGATCGTGAAGAAGAAACTTGGATTCCCAGTCATCTTTCGCTGGGTAGATGATAATTTGATCTTACGCCGTCCGGGGGGAAAGTCCTCGTTGAAAGACATAGAAGATCTAAGCACGTCGATGGGTGTGCAAACCAACCCAAAGAAGAACAGGGCCTTTAAAGAGGAACAACGCTTCCTAGGTTTTGTCTGGAATGGGACAAATCACACGGTTCGATTACCAAAAGAGAAACTTCACGAGAGAAAGACACAGATAAAAGAATTTCTGACAGAGGGGAAGGAATGGAAACTTTCTCAAGTAGATACCTTTGTGGGTCGCCTCGTCCATACGGTTTATATAGTCCCCCATATGGCCGCATACCTCAGTTCGCTGTACAGATGGAAGAAAGGCTGGAGGAACAAATATGCTCTACGGAAAACTCCTACTGATGTGGTTGACGACCTCAAAGAATGGGACAGTTGTTTGGAGTCCTTTGACGCATGCCCGATTGTCCCCAACCCGGTCTCTGAGGAGGTGGGTTGGGTAGGAGATGCCGCTGCGTCTTACGGGTGA